TTTAAATCAAAAAGTGCAAGGGGATTGGGGAACAATTGGGTTTTTTTAACCCCAAAACAATAATAAAAAAAATTTTTGTTAAGTTTTTAAACAGAGGGTAACGAAGAATTAAGTAAGAAATAAGAAAAAAAAAGGAGTAAAATTTTCAGGAGGGTAAAAATTTTTTAAAGGGGGCAAACAATGGGGGTTTGATTAACCCCCCCGATAAGGGGGAGGGTGGTGATTTTGGAAACGGCTTATAAAACGTTATGGAAAATATTTTAAATGATTCAGAACATAATAAAAAATTAAAGTAACCCTTTGTAAAAATCAAAAAATTATTTCAAGTATTAATATTAGAGCCAAAAGGAAGGTTTTTTGAATGAAAAAAAGGGGCTAGAACTGATTCCTTCCCATTTCAAAATGCCTATAATAAATTACCTACCTAAGATACCAAAATTTAATAAAACCCCCCGGAAGACCGATCAAAAAACGGATTACTCCATACACGAACGGGGATTATTGTTTTCAAAAGCAGCCCATAGTTAAATTAAGCCATCGTATTAAAGACGGACAGATGTTATTGATTTGGTTGACATAGAAAAGTTTCTAAAAAATACTATTTTGGTTACGATAGACGTTAATTCTTTGTATCCTAGCATCAACATGAAGATGGAAGCAGAGCAGTTATATGGGTCTAAGATGGGTGTACGTATGGAAAGGTAGGAACCATAGAAAATTTATTGTTGTCACGATTAGAGTTTTGTATGGAAAAAACTATTTTTGGTATGGTGGACCAATTTTATGTCAGAAAAAGGGGTAGCAATGGGCGCAAAATTTGCGCCCAGTCTAGCAAATGTCTGTTTTAAGTAAATGGGAGGGGGGAGGTTAGGGGGAAGTATAAAATGGCGAGGAATTGATTAGTGAGGAAAAGGTATACTCGATGATATTCTTGTGAATTGGGATGGGTCGATGGAATCTCTAAAGACATTTATATCTGTTCTGGAAAAAACAGAGCATGATTTAGTTTTTGAACCTTTATATGGAAGGTGCCTCATGAATTTACTAGATCTTAATATTTTTATTGAGGACAAAGTTAATATTTACCGAAAACTTTTTTTAAAGAAAACAACACGGAACGGATACATACCCACTAAAGCTGTCCCCCATCCTTTTTGGGACAAGGGGATACCCAAAGGTCATTTTCGAAAATTTTTTAGAAACGTACAGATTGAAGGAAAGCGACAAACGATATTATTAAAAAAAAGATTCATTGAGAAAGGGGTATGCCCCAGGGGACAAAAAAAGGGATTAGGTATGAGGTGAGTAAAAGCTATTTAGGGGATAAAAGTTTGAAAATTTCCCCGTCCAAAAAAAATCCGTCAAGGGGAAAAAATAGAATATCGTTTATTTCATTTATAAAAACCCAAAAATTAAAGAATTGAAAAGATTTTTTTCAAACATTGGCCTATATTAAAAAAGACACTCTCAAAGGTCCACTAATCCCCAAAAAAGCCCTCGTTTTTTTAAAGAAGGACTAAAAATTTAAGATGTTATAGTTAAAAGTATTACTCCCTCCAAAAAAAAGAAGAACATATGTTTATTTTTTAAGGGTTCTACCCCTTAAAAAAGTAGAAATGCAACAACCAACAATACTAAAAAAGAGGTTTAAATTTTAAATTTACATCAACAGACGGGGTATTTTAAAGATTTAAAAAATTTCATTACTTTTACCCCCTCCTTTTGTAACAAAATTACTGGGAAATTCCGTTAAGTTTCAGTATTTGGGGGGGACCCAAGACCCTTACAAAAAAAAATTAAGCGAACAGTTACAAAATTTTGAAAGGGAAAAAAAACCATGTTTTTTCGAGGCACTTTTAAAAACCACAAACTGTGACCCCATGCCTAAAAAATTCTGTGGAAACGATAGATGAGGCACATTGGAGGGGGGGGGGAAAAAAAACAAACCCTATCCAAGAAAAAACCAAATGGATTTTTGAATTAAGAACGAGAAACCGGAGGTTTTAAAAGAGATCTAGATTTGAACTGCTTTTTTTCCAATTTTTAAACGTAAACGTTTTTGTTTTATGCTTTAAAAAAATAGTTTACAAAAATATAAAAAACTGATATGTGCAGGTAATGTGGGTATATCTATTGAAAGGATTTAGGAGTAAATTTTTTTTTTAAAAAATTTTTTTTTTAAGAAAAAAGATATTTTAAAAAAATAATTTTAAAATAATTTTTTTAAAAGAAATTTGGGAAACCTTCCTTAATATTTTTCGATTAAAATGTGGTACCATTGTGAGACAAAAGGCATCAAAGGGCAACATTGGGTCCTTTAAAGGGAAAAGATGAATTGAGATATTCATGGTATTTAAACAGATTAATTTTGGGAACTATTGAGATTTTAATAATATTGTAATAATTAAATTTTTTGAAGAATATTTATTTAAAAGGAAGGGGAATACTAAAGAATATATATAGTTGGTTTTATCTTATTGTAATTGAGTTCAATTTCAATTAAAAAGGGTTGGGTCTAAATAATGTGGGGGACTGTAGTAGTAAGTTTAAGGGGGGCTCCAATATAGTTTAGAGTATATAGTAATGTATTTAATTATATTTTAAGCTATTGTCATCTTAATAGATAGGATGCTTTAATAGTATTTGCAATCATTTCATATAAAACTGTAATTTAATTTTTTTTGTATGATTTTAAAACCGGGGGGTTTTAGTTTTTTTTAAGTTTTTTCCATGGGGGTTTATATCCCAATCTTGGACATTGCCATTTCCTTAAATGGAGTCCAGCCAGCTATTGTAATAAAAATAGCCATACCGAGGGGTTTTGGTCTCCCCCTCAAGATAGAGCATGCCCCCGTTAGGAATGGACTGGGCCCGCAATGGGGGACCACCTCCTTTTGATCTGCATACCAGGCGGCCCCGCGGTCCCCAGCAAACAAGACTCAACCTTTCACCACTAAAAACCTGGGAAATGATGATACTGGGGTATTAAGGGATGGCCAGACTTGCAGCTCGCCTGGGTTTTTTGTTTGTCCCGGGGCCCCGTAACGTCCTCATCCTTTTTCTGTTCCTTTGCTACTTCCCTGCTCGACCGGCTTTGACCCTGACCACCCCTGTCTGACCCTCTGTACTACGCTGCTTTCTACCTGTTCAGATCCCTGGCTTGTGACCCGTACCATCCCTCTGCTGACCCTCTGTACTATGCTGCTTGCTACCTTCTGACCTGGCTGTGACACCGACCATTCTCCGCTTGCTCCCCCTGTACCTACCTGCCCAATGATATTGGACCCGGCCTGCCTGACGACCGCTTGGTTGTATGTACTGTTATCTGTGGGTGGTTGGTTAGGTTTTTGTGTTGCACCGTATTATGTTTTAGTATTGCACTGCGTTTTATGTTTGTACTGTTAGTGTTAATTAAATTTATATTGTTTATAAACATATGCTGAGGTCTGTCTGCGTTTACCTGCTTCAGTCACACACCTCTGGTCATACCATGGGTGCACTGACATTACACCAAGGCCAATACCTGACCAGAAGTGTCTGACACATGAAGCCTTCTTGGCGTGATTTGATGGGAAGGACTGTATCTGCGAGGAGGTTGAGTATTTATATCTGCTAGTGTTTTTGATGAACAGAGAGTAGCTTATCAAACTCTGAAGTGTATACCTTGGGATGAATTGCTAGAATGTATTACACGGCTCCCTCATGTTCTAGTAGAATCAGGGCACAGTGTTTCTCTGAGGTTGCAGCCCATTGATTGAGTGTTTGTGCAGAGTTGGTTCATCTGGTTCCCCGAATGCAGGGATGAATTTTTGCCACCATTTAGTGCAGACCAGGTAGAGTCCCTGGTGTGGTTATTAGAGGATGAATGTGGGTTACTTTCTGGAGCGTTATTCCACATGTTCACCACAGACACTTGAAGAGTAGATTGTATAAACGCAGTGCAGTCATTGACCAGACAGACTTTGTGTAAGCTCAGCTTTGTTCAACCCACCCTACTGCAGACATGGACAGATTGTTGCACCCAGCCTCAGTCAGCTTACAAAGTACCCAGTCCTGCTTCTAACTCTACTCCTGTATTCCCACCAGCTCCTCCAGTTATACAGCCCATTAAATACTTGGCTATTCTACCGCATGTCATCCCCTGTTCCCACTCGCTGCACCTATCCTAGCCTTTTAACCCTGTAAAAAAGCCCTCTGTTAGCAACTGCTCCTCTCCTGTTCCATCCTCCAGTTCTTCTCTGTCTCCAGCTGCTCCATTCGTTTGCAGACCTTGCGTTTACCTTGCAGTGCTCCAGTAGTTAAAACCAGAAAAAAAAGCGAAAATTACTTTCCAACCAATACCATCCTGCCAGTATCCAACACCGATGAGCCTGCTTCCGTGGTTCAGACTGATGCCTAGATACGCAGCCTGATGCCTCTACTTCGGCCTGAAGCACTACTTTACTCGGCCTGATTTGCCTCTACTCGGGCCTGAAGCCTCTACTCGGCCTGATGCCTCTTCTCGGCCTGAAGCCTCTACTACTCGGCCTGAGGGCCTCTACTTTCGGCCCTGAAGCCCTCTACGCGGCCAGAAGCCTGATACTCGGCCTAATGCCTCTACGTCGTCATTGAATCCTCTACGCGGCATGAAGCCTCATCCTCATGGCCTGAAGCCTGTACTCGGCCTGGATGCTGTACTCGGCCTGATGCCTGTACTCGGCCTGATGCCTGTACTCGGCCTGATGCCTGTACTACGGCCTGAAGGGCCATCTACTCGCCTAATGCCTTACCCAGCATGATGAACTGAATCCAGCCTGACGCTCCCTATAGGCCAGTTGACTCGATGCCCGCTGTTGATCCAGATGATCCGGTGCCGCTGTAGTGCCAATTGACTCAGAGCCCGCTGTCGTACATGGTGACTCGGTGCCCACTGCTTTGCCAGATGACGTCGGTGCCCCGCTGCAAGCCAAGTGACCTGAATGCCTGGTGACCTAGTGTCCGCTGTCATACCTGATGACCCGATGCCCCGCTGTCGAGCCAGACAATCCGGGTAACCATGATGACCCGGTGCCGGCACTGTCGTGCCTGTTGACTCGGATGACCACTGCCTTGCCAGATGATCGCGGTGCCCGCTGTCGAGCCAAATGACTGCAGATGCCTGGTGACCCGATGCCCGCTGTCCAGCCAGACGATTCAATGTCTGCCCCGGTGCCCCGCGGTCATGCCTCAGTTGACTCGGAGCCCACTGCCTTGCCAGATGACGCGGGGGTGCTCGCTGTCGAGCTAAATGACTTGATGCCTGGTGACCCGATGCCCGCTGTCCGGATCAGACGATCCAATGTCTGACCAAAACAGTGCCCGCAGGGTCATACCAGTTGACTCGGGAAGCCCACTGCTTGCCAGATGACGTCGGTGCCCGCTGTCGAGCCAAATGACCTGATGCCTGGTGACCCGAGATGCCCGCTGTCCAGCCAGACCATCCAATGTCTGACCCCAGTGCCTGCGGTCATAACCAGTTGACATCGGAGCCCACTGTCGTGCCTGGTGTCTCGGTGCCCGCCGCTCCGCCTGGGGGCCCGAGACCTGTTGCTCCGCTTGGGGGTCCAGCGCCCCGCCGCTCCGCCTGGGGATCCGGCGCCCGCCGCCCCGCCTGGGGGCCCGAGACCTGTCGCTCCGCCTGAGGGCCCGAGACCTGTCGCTCCGCCTGGGGGTCCCGGCACCTGCCACTCCGCTTGAGGGCCCGAGACCTGTCGCTCCTCCTGGGGGTCCGGCGCCCGCCGCTCTGCCTGAGGGCCCGAGACCTGTCGCTCCAATCTGGGGGTCCGGCCCCCGCCGCTCCGCCTGAGGGCCCGAGACCTGTCGCTCCTCCTGGGGGTCCAGCGCCCCCGCTCCGCCTGAGGGCCCGAGACCTGTCGCTCCTCCTGGGGGGGTCCGGCGCCCGCCGCTCCGCTCCTGAGGGGCCGAGACCTGTCGCTCCAATTTCCGCCTGGGGGTCCGGCGCCCGCCGCTCCGCCTGAGGGCCCGAGACCTGTCGCTTCCACCTGGGGGTCCGGCGCCCGCCGCTCCGCCTGAGGGCCCGAGACCTGTCGCTCCTCCTGGGGGTCCGGCGCCCGCCGCTCCGCCTGAGGGCCCGAGACCTGTCGCTCCGCCTGGGGGTCCGGCGCCCGCCGCTCCGCCTGAGGGCCCGAGACCTGTCGCTCCGCCTGGGGGTCCGGCGCCCGCCGCTCCGCCTGAGGGCCCGAGACCTGTCGCTCCGCCTGGAGGTCCGGCGCCCGCCGCTCCGCCTGAGGGCCCGAGACCCTGTCGCTCCGCCTTGGGGGTCCGGCGCCCGCCGCTCCGCCTGGGGGCACGATGCCTGTCGCCCCGCCTGGGGGCACAATGCCTGTCGCCCCGCCTGGGGGCACGATGCCTGTCGCCGCCCGCCTGGGGGCCCGATGCCTGTCGCCCCTCCTGGGGGCCCGATGCCTGTCGCCCCTCCTGGGGGCCCGATGCCTGTCGCCCCGCCTGGGGGCACGGTGCCTGTCGCCCCGCCTGGGGGCCCGGTGCCTGTCGCCCCGCCTGGGGGCCCGGTGCCTGTCGCCCCGCCTGGGGGCCCGGTGCCCTGTCCGCCCCGCCTGGGGGCCCGGTGCCTGTTGCCCCGCCTGGGGGCCCGGTGCCTGCTGATCCGCCCGGGGGCCCGGTGGGCCTGGTAATCCGATGTGCCTCTGCCCGGAGTCCTGCCTGATGTGCCTCTGCCCGGAATCCTGCCCGATGTGCCTCTGCCTGGAGTCCTGCCTGATGTGCCTCTGCCCGGTGTGCCTCTGCCCGGAGTCCTGCCCGATGTGCCTCTGCCCGGTGTGCCTCTGCTCGATGTGCCTCTGCCCGGAGTCCAGCCCGGTGTGCCGCTGCCCGGAGTCCTGCCGCGGTGTGCCAGTCTTTGATATCCCGCCAGTTGCCAGACCCGGGCGGTGGAACATTTTGCCCAGCTAGGACTGTTTGGAGCGTCCTGAGGCCGCTCCTTGAGGGGGGGGTACTGTTAGGAATGGACTGGCCAGCAATGGTGGGACTCACCTGCCTTTTGATCTGCAGTACCAGGCTGGCCAGCGGGTGCTCCCAGCAATCAGAGACTCAACCTTTCAGCCAGCTAACACCTGGAACTGATGATACTGGTGTATTTAAGGGATGGCCAGACTTGCAGACTCTGCCTTGGTGTTGTGTTTGTCCTGGGCCCTGTATCTGTCCTGCATCCTGTTTCTGTTCCTTTGCTGACTCCTCCTGCTCTGATCCTGGCTTGTGACCCTGACCATCCCTCTGTCTGACCCTCTGTACTACGCTGCTTGCTACCTGTTCTGATCCCTGGCTTGTGACCCGGACCATCCCTCTGCCTGACCCTCTGTACTATGCTGCTTGCTACCTGCTGAACCTGGCCTGTGACCCCGACCATTCTCCGCTTGCTCCCCCTGTACCTACCTGCCCAATTGATATTGACCCGGCCTGCCTGACGACGCTTGCTTGTATGTACTGTTATCTGTGGGTGGTTGGTTTGGTTTGTTTGCACCGTATTATGTTTAGTATTGCACTGCGTTTATGTTTGTACTGTTAGTGTTAATAAATTATATTGTTTATAACATATCTGAGGTCTGCGTTTCCCTGCTTCAGTCACACACCTCTGGTCATACCTGGGAGCCCTGACAGCCCCTTTCAAAGATGGAGATCGCGGTATCACCATCATGAGAGGAGGAGTATAAAGAAGCGTCCCAGTCTGACAACCGCACCCTTTATGATTACGTCCAATGACGAAACGAGTCAGAGGGAAGTGACGTCAGACGCAAGTGACGTCAGACGCAAACGAGGAACCGGAAGTAGAGCGGCGGCCATCTTGGAGAGTGGAAGAAAGACTGTTTTGGAGCGGTTTGGACTCTCCTAGACGGACGGCATTAAGGTTTCTTCATACTTTCAAACATGCGATAACAAAGATTTTATATTGTAAGCAGCACCATTAAAATTTGTGATCCGTGTGTGTGGCGGTATTATACTATATATTTCTTTGTGTATATATATATATATCGATATCGGGATGACGGTTATGATGAAACTGGTCTGAGTAACTAGTGTGGATGGATCCACATTAGAGTATGAGGAGGTGAAAGTGAGGATACTGGCCGAATATCATTCGTCCCATCATACAGCCAACTTGGGGATTATTATCTAAGGCCTAAAGTGATATACATATTGGTAAGGGTATTCACTCCTTACTGCAGTAGACGTGATTTATGTGTGTGTTCTAAGCACTTTAAAGAGTGATTCACCTACACGGTTCTTCACACTATACATAGTGTATTGGCACACGTTTGCTGTTTACACCTTTTGTTTCACTTTGTGGAGTATCACTGGATGAGTTATATGATGCATATATATTAAGGATAATGCACTATGTGGTTTTTATTTCTGTTTTGTTTTGAGGTAAAACCAAGCTTTTACAAGACTTTGAAGAGTTTATCACTTTGTGGACAATTTTTGGACATAATTTTTTTGATTTATAAGGGACATTGGTTTCATAAACTTTTGGACTATTGGATTTAGAACTTTTTGATTTAGATACACCAATTTGGGGATAAGGGTCATTATTTATTACTATCACTGAGCATATTATTTGTATAATATGAAAAGGAGAAGTAGAGGGGACATATTAAAAGGTACACGGAGTGGGACTCAGACTTGTATGAGATGTTTCCCAGGGTGTTTGCTTGCAGTCTGTCCAGCATGCAGTAGAGTTTTTTTGTTGTATATCTTCCTGCTGCTTGAGTTATCCTGCTTTAGTTAAACTGCTGTGTTCAATTGCTCCTTAGCACTCTATCAGAAACAGCACCCCATCTGTGACTATGCCCCCCGATCTATGATCACCCCCCCCATGAACTGATCTAAATTGATAGGGAGATGGTCAAATGAGCACTCTTTTTCCGCCCCAATTAGGAACTGATAAGGATCAAATGAATAGGGGAGATGTTTCTCAAACACAGATCAGACGCAGGCCACAGTCATAAAAAGAGTGCAACAGGAGGTGAGAACTAATCAACATAGACTAAATATATATACACTATTTGCTCTGAAATTAACAGGAGTCTATGTGTTGTTGTAGTTTAGTGTGGAAAAGCATTTACCCAGCAGAGAGAGCAGGAGTCTATGCGTTGTTGTAGTTTAGAGTGGAAAAGCATTTACCTGTGAAAAGCAGAGAAGCCATGATTAGTCTGCTGTGTTCAACTGCTCCTTAGCACTCTATCACAAACAGCACTCATGCAGAAACAGAACCCAGTCTGTGACTATGCCCCCGATCAAAAGAATCTCTTGTTCTTCTATTTTTTGTTGTTGCCATTTGAAAACCACTTTTTGTTTATGATCTCCAGTATCTCTGAGGAATTTATTTCTCTTTTTCTGTCTTTCCTCCCTCTCCCACTTTCCCATATTCTCCTTGACCTCATTAGACAGTCTCACAAATTCGGGGCTTGCCCTTATGAAGCTCAACTAATTCCTTCAGTTGCTCTATTTGTGAATCTATATTCCTAATCTTAATTTGTTTACATTTAAACAAAAATTGTAATAACTCAATTTCTTTTGCATTAAACAAAATTATACCAATCGTTCAGGGACTCATCATCCATTAAGCCATCCTTAAATGGCATGGAACCATACTGGCAGAAATATGATTGCTGCTGATTGTATGTGAAATATCAAAATAAACAAATATTACCAGTCAGCGCAACCTGCTAATAAACATCCAAAAACTGTTATCTCCTGTATAAACATAAAACCTTCCCTGTTGCTTGCTGAACACGGAAAAGTGAATTCCACATCACCCTCTAATAAATGATCAAGTAGAATTAAGTCTAATGCCTCATATACAGTAGTACAGCACAGTAATATATACCTCACAATAAAAATAAAATCTTTTAGAACAAAGGTAGGCAACCTTTCATAGGCTGAGATTTACCTGGACAACATGGAAGAAAGCAAAGATCCCCGTGGGTGGTGATATTTAGTTCACACATATTGCAATACATGTTTAAGCTGGCCAACTGCATCAAAGTAATCCCTCTATGGCTAGTCCTACTCTGCTCTGCCTACGCAAATGCTACTGTGGACACAATGCCAATATAGGGGAAAAGGCAAAGTGTGGGAGAGCTACTAGGTTTACGTTTGGCTACTGACCTACAATACAACAAAGAAGACATACCTGTGCTCAAATCCCAATAGCTAGTACAGGCATTTATCTATCAGATGCTAAAAAGATGGCATGAAGAACACATAGTGTGTCACTATAGTGTCCTCTGCCCCCCTTCACATCACTCTCTCCCCACAGTAGTATCCTCTGTCCCCCATCACACAGCCCCCCCACAGTAGTGTCCTGTGCACCCCCAAACAGTAGTGCCCTCTACCCTCTTGCACCACAGTAGTGTCCTCTGCCCACATACAATAGTGTCCTTTGTCCCTCTGCCCCCCCCCCCCCAGTAGAGTCCTCTGCCCCCCAATACAGTAGTGTCTCCTGCCCCTCACCACAGTAGTGTCCTCTGCTACTCTGCCACCCATACAGTAGTGTCCTTTGCTCCTTTCCACCCACAGTAAGTGTCCTTTAGCCCCCATGCAGTAGTGTCCTCTGCCCCTCATACAGTAGTGTCTGCTGCCCCTCTGCCCCCCCCCCTACAGCAGTGTCCTCTGCCCCTCTGCCTCCCATATAGTAGTATCCTCTGTAAATCTGCCTCCCAGATAGTAGTGTCCTCTGCACCCCACCCCTCACAGTAATGTTCTCTGTCCTCCCTATACAGTAGTCTCCTCTGCCCTCTTCACATCACCACCCCTCGACTGTAGTGTCCTCTTTCCCCCATAGCACTTCCCTCCTCCCATCCACAGTAGTGTCCTGTACCCCCCAAAGCAGTGTCCTCTGCCCACTCTACATCACCACCCACTATAGTGTCCTCTGCCCCTCTTCCCCCCATAGCAGTGTCAAGTGCCCCTCCCCAAAGCAGTGTCCTCTGCCCCCCTTTACATCACTCCCCACTAGTAGTGTCCTCTGCCCCCCCATAGTAATGTCTTCTTCCCCTCTCCCCCTCACAGTAGTGTCCTGTACCCCAAAGTAGTGTTCTCTGCGCCCATTTCAAACATCACCCCTCCTCTGCTGTAGTGTCCTCTGCCCCTGAAAGCAATGGCTTCTATCCTCCATCTCCCAAACCAATGTTTTTGAATATTT